ACAATAATATTTTTCTACCTAAACTATAATTATTAACTACCTAAAACATTGACTAAAATGACGAAGTGTTCTGCCATTTCTTGAAGTAGTATGTTCCCTTGTGAGTGTGAGTTAAGATCCCACATCGAAAAAATAAAGAAGGAAAAAGTGGTTTATATATGTAAAGACTCATGGAACTACTAGACTAGTCTTTTGATTCTAATGTGGTGTCGAAATATATAATGAATCACTCAATGTCACCTGCTAAATCGTATGTCTCCCCAACATTCATGATGCAAGTTGTGTGAAGCAGCTTTGGTGGAAGTAGCAATATATCAAGTGCCATCAAGCTGCCCAAGTTCAATTTGGTTAAACTGAAACTAGCCAAACTATTTTTTGTGTCCTTTCTAGTCATATTTCAAGTAGGAGCCATGTGATTTGATGTGTATTATTTTGATGATACAATATTGTTGTAAAGGAGCTCCTTATCTTGAATTTTTTGAATTTTAATATTTAAACTCTCTATGTACAAATAACAGTAGAATGAAGTGAAAAATTGATTTCAGCTCTTTCAGCTTTCAACGTCCCTCTCCATTTCTTTGAGAAATATCTGAACATTTCAGACCTCAGGCTTAGGATTTTTAGAAAATTAAGCAACAACTTGCTTTCCCCCTTCAATTCAACCGAAGATGCCTTCACACTGGTGCACATTGAGCTAGGGTTCTTGTATGATGTGCTTTACACCAAGGCAACTATAATGCAATCTACGGTAGGTGTAATCCTTCGTAGCATTTGCTTGTTGTCCACTTTTGCAGGCCTTCTCTATCACAGTCAGTAAGAGTGCCTATCCAAGGGAGGACATTTCCATAACTTATGTGCTATTGGGTAGAGCAATCCTTCTGGATATTTTCTCTGCAATTTCGCATGCTTTATCTTCTTGGACAATACTCTGGTTAACTAGTCCAAGCAAATTGGTGAGTAAGTTTGCATGTCAAAGAATTGTTTCCTGGCTGGTTCTTAGGAACGCCAAGAAAAGGGAAGGGTGTCCATGGCACAACATAGCCTGATAGATTATTGCCTAAAGGCCAAGACATCCAACTTTATTAGAATTTTGAGTGCGCTTGACGCTGAAGATATTGTGGGGAAATTTTGGCGGACTTCTTGGGTACAAGTAAATGGAGACCTGAAGAAGTTTATCTACTCTCATCTTCAAAAGAAATTTGAGCGATATCGAAACATTGATGATGAGAGAATGAACTTAACTATGACCTGCTCCTAGGTATATTAAAGGAGAGGGGGGATCATATGCTTCAAAGCTATAGACTTAAGGAAGAATTCCGATGGAGCACTAATGAAGTAGAATTCAGCCACACATTCTTGCATGGCACATGGCAACGTTTATTCTTTTCTATGATGATCATAAAAGATATTCTAGCCGAGTTCTGGGTTCTTATTGCCAAATTAGCAAGCTTTTGTCAGATTATATGATGTATCTCCTCCTGGTGCAGCCTCTCATGCTTCCTAAAGGGATTGGTCGAGTGAGGATCAAAGATACTCAAGAGGAAATGATAAGATATTTTGGTGACAAGTCGTCATCAATGAGTGATAACGACGCGGCTAGTGCTTTACTTCCCTCTGGCAACGAATTTCCATTATTGTCAACCCAAAGCAAGTCTGTCTTACGGGATGGTTGTAAGCTGGCATCTAATTAGTTGAAGGGTTGGTCGAGGAATTGCTCTGGGATCCTGAAGAGCAATGGCAGGTGATTGCAAATGTGTGGATAGAAATGTTGGCATATGCTGCTGGCAAGTGTGGATGGAGAGAGCATGCGATACAGCTTCAGAGTGGTGGTGAGCTTCTTACCCATGTAGCGCTTCTTATGGCACATCTTGGCCTGACTGAACACATTCGAATTGTGCAACCAAGTGATGATGATCACTAGCTGCAATCAAGTGCTAATAGTCAGGTGCAACCTAGTTCTGATAAGCCTCCATTTGGTCACTCTTTGATGTGGGATTGGGGTCAACCTTCTCATTTGGCTTATTACATGGCATAAGAACATTTTTTGCAAAGACACAATAGCTTACTAAGAGCTCATTTCAATTACTTAACTGTATGTTTAGGCTAAGGGGAATAAAGAGAAGGGGAAGAGAAGGGAGGGGAGGGAAATTTTATGCCCTTTCCCTCATTTGGATAAATAAGTAAATTAAAAGAAAAAATAAAAGAAAATTGTCCCCTTCTCTCTTTTCCAATTTTTTTGATAATCAAATATTTTTTTTCTTTCTGCTTCATTTCCTTCAACCCAAACATACTACAAAAGTGTTTATATGAGTGGTTTTTTTTCTTTTGTCTTTTGCATGTCTATGTAAGTGATATTTTATATAAGTGTTATTTGAACACATAATACTTGCATTATGAAATTATACTGAATAAAAGTTTTTATATTTTTAGGTATTTTCAAATTGGATGAGATTGATATGTTTAACTTGTGTGAAATATATGCTTTACACTATGTTGAGGTTTAAGGGAGGGACAGGGACTGTAAAATTTTTCTCTATTTGATTAGCAAAAAGTATTGGAGGGGAGGGGAAATTTTCCTTTACTTTATTTTTCCTTTTAATTTGTTAACTTATCCAAATAAAGGGAAGGGAAATGAGGGAAATGGAAGGATAAAATTCCCCTCCCCCCTTCCCTTTTTTTTGATTCCCCTCAACCCAAACATGCTTAATGTTTTGTTATTCATATACAAAATAAAATTATAATGTACTATGTGTTTGATTTGAAGGAAGTAAGAGGAGAGAAAATTATTAACCAATTAAATTATTTGATCACAAAACTTCTCAAGAGACTTGTGTTATGAAATTATATAGAATAGTCATGGGATTTGAATTTGCTATATTAACTTTCAGTTTTTTTAAGGTATTTTCCAAACTGAATGAGATTAATTAATACCCTTAGCACTTCAATGTGTGTTTGAAATATGTATGAAATCATTCATATATGCGTTAGTATTATGTTTCATGGTGAAACGGGATTATACTTGTAAACAAAATAAAAACCAGTATGAATATTGAGGAGCCACAGTCCAATTTCCTGTTAGACAATGCGGAAGATTCAGTGTCGTTTCCTTAAGCATTTCATGGATAATCCTATCCGTACATCTGTGGCGATGTATGGCTAGAATTGGAATTGAGACCAGATGATCTGATTAACAGCTATTTCCGTTAATGGCACTGCGGACGGATGTGGCTGCTGTTGGTGGGTTGCCAACAAATGCAGTTGTTTCTAATCAGCTATCCTAACCATCTTTTAGATTCTTGCTCAAGAACCAACATGAGAAGATGGTAATGGTTAAAAAAAAGTGCATTCCGCGCAGGATGAACTGGATACAGGCAGCATTCTCATTTTTAAAATAATAAAAATTGATAACGTGGGTTTGCTACATCATTTCTCTTAATTTTTCCTCCGTGTATCATTATACCCTCCTTGGTCTTTCCAACAAGCCATGGTCTATCTCTAATTCATTTGGCTTTCTTTATCTTTTTTGTGAAACGGGGTGATGCATTCTTTAATTGGTCCTTAAGCTTTAAAAGCACCAGATTTAACAGTTATGTATGTCTTGCTTTACAAAACATTTTGTACTGTTTTCTTTCAATGGCCAACAGAAAGATTAACCCTTTCTAATTTTTCTAAAAAAATTCTAAAGGTTAAAATCACATTTTGGTTCCTTTATTTTTACAAAAAGTCTTTTTTGGTTCTTATACTTAAGAAAGCTCTTTTTCCATCCCTAAAATTTATTTTTACAAACCCTTTTTGGTTAAATTTTTGCTAATATGTTACGTTAATTAACATAACTACTTGATTACTTCTTTATATAAAGGAAAATAATTCAAAAATAACCTTTTTGCATCACTTTTTTCATAGAACCTTATATATTATTTAAATGATTCTTTCTTTTTATTCATTTAAAATTCATGATATTAAGTGCATCTATTTATTTAATGATATATAAAAGTTATATAGAACGTTATACAAAAAAAAAAATTGTCTCTATAGCACTAACATGTAAGGTTGTATGGTTGTATAAAAAGTAGTATAAAAATGTTATTTTTGAATCATTTTCCTATATAAAAATTAAAAAACAAAAATTGGTTAACGGAAATTGTGCCATATTGATGTTTTGCCCCAAAATTAATACCTTTGGCTAAGTGGTTGTTGTAGCATAGATTTAGGTGTCAAATCCATATAGAAACTCTGTTAAACCAACAAAAAAGGGTTCTCATATTGAGTAATTAAATTAAAAGCTGAAATCTAAAAATAAGAATAAAAATACATGAATAAAAGATGATAACTAAAAAATATTGGAAACAATGTTATAATTAATAAGGCTATAAGGTTCAATTTGTTTAATTGTTATCAAATTCAATTCCTATTTATTACTTAGTTGGATTTTTTACATCATAAACAAATAATAAGAAGATATAATTTTGAAGATTAATAATAATAACTAATTTATTTATGTTGAGAGAGAAATTAATTTTAATAAAAAACAAACTAATATATCCTTAGAAGATATTCAAGAGTGACAATATGCCTAATTAACAATATTATAGTAAAGGATCAAATTGTAAACAAATCTACTAATAAATTATATTTTAACAAATTACACATAAAAATAATATGAATAATTTTATATAAAACTTGATGAATATAACTTTCAAAGTCTTTAAATTTAAAAATAATTAATAATTTCTTTAAAATAAAATTAAACAATGAAAT